TCTCTCTGTAAGTCTCTAATGTTTTTCTCCTTATTCACCGCCTCTCTTCTTAATCTAGTCTCTCTATAAGTCTCCATGTGTCATGTAATCTACACATGGCAAAACTATTTAAACCCTTACGTTTTTAAAATACAATTATTATAGTTATGTATGTGATTTTTTTCAGTATTTTTTGGTTTAGCCTTATTGAGTGTCTCAGAGGATGATATTGTTTAATTGGCTTTCTTTCTTTTGGTTATAACTGTTTTCCATGGAATTTTCTCTCACTTGCTGTTAATGTTGCCCTATGACCCTTTAGGAATATTGTGCAGCAATTCTAAGGTAATTGATAGTATTTTTTTTTTATCTCTTAATTCAATGTTTAATCCCAACTTACATTTGCTTGAACTTGAGCTTAGGGTTAGGCTTAGGCTTGGGCTTGAGCGGGTACGGGGGGGAACCGGGGATAAAAATTATACCCATTAACGGGGGTGGACCGGGGATGAACAAAGATTTTTTAAAAGGGTACGGAGATGAAGACTATACCCTCCGTCCCCGCTTCGGTCCACTGACATCCCTAATCAAGGCTCTCCCTGTCACCAACTATTGCTAATGCCTCATACGGGACGAAGTCAAAGGAATTAACAGTGGCCCTCTCAGTAGACGCCCAGCCTTAGGCGTCTAGCACCAGGGGCCCAATAACAAGCGCCGCCTAGGTTAGCGCTCTGGTTTGTTGGGATCCAATGCGCTTTAAACCCACAAATAAACACACACAATCGAAGAACAAATTAAAAACATAAAACAATGAAAAGCAAGAAAGAACAAGACACACAAATTTTACGTGATTTGACAATTTGCCTACATCCACGAAACTGCAGGGATTTCACTTTTGAAAGAGCGGAATACAGAGGGCGAAATACAGCAACTCCAGCATGCCCGAGTTGCTGTCTAGGGCACAGAAATACATGAACACCGAGAATGTCACCAAGGCCAGACAAGATGAGTCCTCCCATGGGGGCGTGAAAAGGAAAGACGCCCACGAAGACAAGTGGGAGGTGGAGAACAAGAGAAAAAGAACCGAAAGAGTCTTTGTCAAAGACCGTTTCAATTCGTACCCCTGAGAGAATGACAGCCTTTCACACCACTCAACGTCTCAGTGGAGCACATCCTATTCCAGATACAGGATGATCCCATGCTCCGCTGGCCCAAGAAAATGAAATCCGCCCCAAACCGCAGAAATTCCAACAGGTACTGTTGCTTCCACCGTGACCATGACCACGACACTGGTGACTGCTATGAGCTCAAGAGGTAGATCGAGGAGCTCATACGACGTGGACACTTGAGACAGTATGTTGCTGATAGAGGACAAGCCCCACCACTTGGTCGGGACCAGAATGACAAAGAACATCAACAACCCCTTAGAAAAATTCAGACGATCTTTTGAGGGCCAGGAAGAGGAGACGACTCCAACTCCGCTGTGAAAGTCTTCGCCCAACTATGGGACACTGAACACCAGAAGATTTTATCTATCCTTTATTGTTTCAAATGATTTATTTTGTTATTTTATAAAATAAAATTCTACAAATATTATTGTGTCTGAATTGTCTTACTTTCCTAAAAATTACAAGCAGCTTATAAAAGTCAGAACATGACTTAACAACAAGGTGTAAACAAAAGGACAACAGTTGTCATACTCCCGACGATCAGTCATTGCTCTCTGAGCAACAACCACTATAATCAAGGCTCTCCCCGTCAACAACTATTGCTAATGCCTCATAGGGGACAAAGCCAAAGGAATTAACAATGGCCCTTTCAACAGGCGCCCAGCCTCAGGCACCCAGTAGTAGGCGCCCAAACAAGCGCCGCCCAGGCTAACACCCTAGTTTGTTAGAATCCAATGCACTTTAAACCCACAAACAAGCACACACAATCGAAGAACAAACCAAAAATATAAAAAAATGAAAAGCAAAAAAGAACAAGACACAGATTTTACGTGGATCAGCAATTTGTCTACGTCCAAGAAGCTACAGGGATTTCACTATGCGCTTTAAACCCACAAACAATCACACACAATCGAAAAACAAACAAAAAATATAAAAAAATGAAAAGCAAAAAAGAACAAAACACACAGATTTTACGTGCATCAGCAATTTGCCTACGTCCACAAAGCTACAAGGATTTCACTATTGAGAGAGCGAAATACAGAGGGCAGTTATACTATTACGCTCAATCCCTAATCATCAAAGTAACATGTTTTTATAGTAGAAGTCATCTCCCTCACATCACTGCCTCACCATACTTATATAATGTAAGTCATCTACACATAGAGGGTATCACCTTGAAATCTCTACACTTTACACATACTACACCTCCCTACACACATTGCTTCTCTTTCCTAAAGCATTGTAATGCTCTTGGATTATACTCTCTCGGGTGACTTTTATTTATCAATAAAGATCTCCGGTCACCGCTGCTGTTCCTGAGTGGAGTAGGTCACTTGGACTGAACCACTATATATCTTTGTGTTGGTTAATTATTTACTGCTCATTAACCGCACCCATTCATATACTCAACTGTTGATTTTACGCAATACCGATTTGTGCATCATCACATATAATTGTTACTCTCATAGCCAACATTTCATGAAATTTGGGTATTTTTAGTCTGTAGACGGTTGATGCACATGGTAATCCAATAATCCGAACATCAAAATTCATTACCACGCACTGCCAAATTATATTTTCCTGAAACTAGTCTCCAGACTATGCATGCCATTAAAAGTTCCCTTGTACGGAGGTGCAAAGAGTGTGTGATAGACAACTTTACTATTTGGAGGAGTTGATTCCCGGACTAGTATCTGTGGCATACATATAGCTAAAAACTAAAAAGTTTATCTAGATAGTAGAACCCAAGTTCACATTTGGCAGAGTATAATTAAGCTCAGAGAAATCACTAGGCCACTTATGGTTCACCGTTCATGTAATTGGCAATGGAAATGACACAGAGATGTGGTGGGACAACTGGCACCCCCAAGGCCCTCTGCTCCAAAAGTATAGCTATGCAGTTGAACAAGAAGTTGGTTTGAGGAAGGATTCAAAAGTGAGTGCGGTCATTTGCAACAATCAATGGTACTGGCCAAACTTTTTTCTCCAGAGATGCAAGAAATTGCTACCACCATGCCCAGTTATGTTCTGAATCATTCCAATGAGGACGTTGTCAGATGGAAACTTACTGCAAATTCTCTCTATTCAGCTCACTCTGCCTGGGATCATATACGAAGTAGCGATATTCAAGTTTCATGGTATTAGCTTGTGTGGTTTGGTCAGTCTGTGCCTAGAATGAGCTTTATCCTTTGGCTCACCATTAAATCCAAACTCGGCACGTTGGACAGAATGCAGTCATTTGCAGCCCACTTGGGGGTGGATTGTATCTTATGCAGAGACTTCATCTCTTTTTTGAATGCCCTTAGTCAGCAACAGTCTGGAGATCTATACTGCTGATGAGTCGTCAAGTTTGGCAAGCAAGGCCATGGGGGGAGTTCATTGAATGGGCTGCTTCTAATTGGAGGGGTAAGTCAATGCTGAAAGTGATTCTCAAGCTCAATCTTGGTGCTACCACCTACACAATTTGGATGAAAAGGAACAATAGGAGGTTCAAGAACCAGTTCAGGGACTCCACTACAGTCAGCCACCTTATTCAGTAAATTATCAGGAATAGGCTGGCCTCTTTATGCTTCAAGAGCAATCATTTGAATAGGCAACTTGGCCAGCATTGGTTACTCCCAACCCACTGCATTAAGTAGTTGAGTTTCAGCTTGTCCAAGTGGTCAATTTGATTGTTTTTGCACTGTTCTGTTTTTTTTTTCTTTTGCTGCCTGTTAAGGAAGGTCTCAATGTAGTTGGATTTAGTTGAAAGTTTTTGCTCAAGGCTTCTACTTCCTCCTAAATTCAGCTGTTATGGATCAACTAGGCATGTTCCCCTTTGTAAGATCACAAGAAGGACATCCTTTATTGTTGCTTTTGGTGTTTTTTCAAATAATAATTTTTACTTTCCCAAAAAAAAAAAGTTCACATTGTTACTGTCTTGCAAAAATTACTCTCTAAAAAGTGTAAGCTTGATTGGTAATAGTTTTTTAGATTCTATTTGCATTTCCTCAGGTCAAGTAGCTAACTCATCCCACCATCCAGATTGGAGTGAGGATACTGTTCGAGAGAGAGAAATTTTTTACTTAAAAAAATATCAGCCCAAACATGATAAAACATATTAAGATGCAACTGTAGATTTTTATATTCAATAGTAAAACCAGTTTCTATTTTACATAAATAAATTATTAAAAAGACATAAAATAATTTTTTTCTTAATGTGTATATATGTATCAGTTATATTTCACAAATATTTTGTTCAACCCAAAAATAAAACATTTGATTATGGGGGGCAATCATACATTTTCACAAATTATCGTGGGTGGTAGGTGGTAATAGGCGGTGGTGGTGAGAGGTGGTAGGTGGTTGTAGTGTTTGGTGACAGCCCCCAATCGCCAATGTAGCAGCTTGCGGGAATTTTTTTTGATGTGATATCTCTCTCCATTTCACTAACGATCTTTCTCGTCCATTATGTTTGCCTTACAAATTATGCAAAGTTATAATTTAACCTAAAAAAAAATATAAATTTAATGTTGTAAACTAACCACAAAACTTATATCAAAATCCTTAAAAGTAACAATAAAAATAAAAATTGTAGATACGGTGCCATAATCTTGTCCACAAATTATAGCTATTGCATAGGCAGTTACAATAATATAAACTTAATATATTAATGTGTTGATCTTAAAAATCACAATAATTATATATTTTCTCTTTTTAACCTTTTTTATTCGCATTCGTTCCGTCCGTCCGTCCGCTTCGTCTGCCTTTTAGAAGCAGATGGGAAGTTGGGTGGGAGCTTAGACAAGGCTTTTGAGCCTTTACGAGGCAGGTCATCCATCTTCACGGATTCAACCTTTAAACTCTGGTCAATTGATGCAGTAATAGAAATAAAAATGAAAAGTTCTCCTCTTTATACCAATTTGAGTATATAGTACAACACTTTCAACTACTATTGATTTTTTTCAGGTGTATGCATTTTGGCATCCTATACAAATGAAACTGCTTCTAAATGCACTTCTCTGTTAACTATGAAACCGATATACAGCTGCTAGCAAATGATGCCATATTACAAACACTGCTTCATGCTCTATGCAACAATGGTTTCTATAATACCTATGCTATGGAAGTAGGGTTACTGACAGCCTCAGCCATTTCTCTTTCTGAGTCAATCGATTTCGGCATGCACATAATCGATAAACACAAAATTCTTTTGGAGTTCATGTAGCACGTAAGCCAAGCCAGCACTTATAAGTGCAAGACCACCCAAAATAATACGCAATTGCATATCTGAAGGAATTCCAGCTGTTGCAGAGCATAAAACAGCTACACCAATTAGGAATTTCTGCGACGTCCGGAATGCTGTATAAGCTTTTTTACATGATGAACACTTCTGTGTGTGCTGTTCATATCTATCCAACATCTGCAATGTAATGCAGAATTGAACAGTAAAAGTTAGAAACAAGTTCAGACCATTGAACCTTGGCAATATGCCATATGATTTGCCAATTCTGAAGGGATTTCTCAAACTACATGGAAATGAAATCATTCCTAGTCCTAAATGAAATTAGTTTATATTGTCCCATACACATTTGTAGCAATTCCCCCGTGGAAGCAAAGAAAAATCCAAAATACAAAGCCATTCCCAACTCAAATAATAAGATCAGATATCTTAACCACTCACAAACCCAGCCCAACCTGCAGTTCATTTTCTTAACTAAACAAAGCCTGCCTAGTCCTTCTTTTCTCTTTTCTTTCCTCAAAATTTGACTTTAAAAACGATGTTGCCAGTTTCTAAATAGTCTTTGTGGTTTAGTGCAGATCTATGTATGTTCAGGAAGTTTATAAATGGAAACTGGATCATTTCATTGCCATTGGTGTCAGAAACTTGGATCATTTCATCACCATAAGGGTCATAAATTCAATAAAATAAATCAGTTACTGTACCTGTCGTTTGGATAAGACAATAGACGGCAGCGGTTGGTCAGTGACGCCAAACCAGTCGGGTTGGCTGTTGCCATGTCGCCTCAGCCAATTGCGAAATGCCAAGACGAAACGATCAGCTTGTGTAGGTGTAAACGTGATTTTCGTGTACTGCTTGTTGATGTCAGCAGAATCCTCTTTCGACTTTGAAAGAAAGACCTTCTCTTGACCCTGAAGCACAATCATGTCTCCATCATATACCTTGTTGGAAGTCCAGTGCTCATGCCATCTAGGAACCACCTGTCATGACCATATGTAAGCCCAACTGTTAGAGGATAGAGCACTATATCCCAGTAAGAGTGAGAGTTTACTTTGATATTTCAAAATAATAAGAGCAAGTCATATTTTATAATAAAAATGCAGCAGGAGTTTGGCATAACGACAGAATGGAGAACATAATCATGCCTTTATGTATCCTCTATGGCTCTATTCACATGAAAGTTCAAACTCAAGTGAGTTTTTACACCCCTAACAAAATCACACACTTTTATTGGTCTATAAAACCTATTAAATCCTAGTATTAACATAAGAACTGCCAAGTCTAAGCACAAATAAGTCCAACGAATAAGACTATTATTGCTATTCATGCTACTATAGATGCTCATCACAAGGTTTCGACATCGCAACAATTTTATTCCTTTATCACCATAATTCATTACAAGTTTCCACGAGTACAAAGTCCTCAGTCTTGTCACATGTCCTCGAAACTGTGACATTTGTTGCATTCTATTTTTCTTTCTTAATTAAAATTTCTTTTTCCCCCTTTCTCCTATTTTGCTTTTGATTGGGAGAAGGTGGTGGCTGGGGTGGTATAACTCAGTGTTATGCTACAAAAGATTTACAACAGAAATAAATTATGCAATGCCTTCATCATGGTATGGTCAAGAATTTGTTCGCCCAAAATTAACATTGAAGCATTATCAATCTTTTGTTAAGTCATATACTCAAGCCATTCTAGCACCTCCCACACCACCAAGAAGTTTGCTACAAAGTAAACCAGATATTGACAATGGTCCAAATTTATTGACAAACCAACCCATGCATTTCTTCAGATGTCCAAATTTTGTGATAATATCCTTCCATCAAATTACGATGCCTCTCTGGTGTCAAGGGATTGGTAAGACCAAGCCAGCATATTCCACAGATATACCATTTATGATTATAAAACGGAAACCTACTAAGAAATGTGCAGCCTTTTTTAGAAGCAACCAACCAACCACAACATAAATAACAAACAGATGATATAACAGGTCAGATTCTCAGGAAGAGAAAGAGCAACTGGATTTGTATCAACTCTCCAGCTATGTTACTGCTATACTTTTATAATCATAATTAAAGGAATAAAGCAAGTGTCCTCACCTGCCACCAGGCAGGGCCCGGCATTGTGAACTGGAAGAAGTTTCGAGCACTACAAACAATTGAACGGGTCTTCCCTGGTGCCATCGGCACATTGAAGGAACAAATCCATATCACCCAATTTTGATCCCCTACTATAGGAAGCTTGGTATCAATCTCTATCCTGGAGCAAACCAAAACAAACACAAAAATAGAATGGGATTCAGGAATATGCATTTGACATGCCAGCATAATATTTTTTTTCATACATAAACCAATTTTGTACATCATATGAAAGATGTACAAAAACCCAAAAGATTGTGGCCCTTCACAAAATAATGTGTGCAAGCCAAGCTTGCTTATGCTTAGCAAGCAAGCACTAGCTTTCTGTTTGCCTATGCAACAAGATTCCAAGAAAACTATTCACTCACAGAAAAATGCGGGAACACATGGAAAACAGCAACACCCCAATTTCTGAAAAAATAGTGTGCAGACAATATTCAGATACAACTCCTTATTCCTGTGTATCTGAAACCTTGGGCCACATCTAAGCTATTACCCTCTCGTAAAGATCTAACAAGAAAAAACAAGAACGGATGATCTCTGATTTTTAATTGTTTGGGGAATGGAAGCTGAACTTCCTTTTGGCTCTCCCCAAAAATGATGTTTCTTTTCAGCGGGACACAATTTAATGAAATGCTGCAATATTTTGATGCCTAATGAGAAAAAACCAAAAAGTACGATTTTCTATTTTTAACAGTTTGGGGAATGGAAGTTGAACTTCTATTCGGTTCCTCCCTAAAAAAAGATGTGTTTTTTTTCAGCAGGGCAAAATTTAATGAAACAATGCAACTTTTCGATGCCTAGGATGGAATTCTCCATACAACAGATAGGCAAAAAGATGGAAACTCCAAATAAATCAACATAAAAGGTATGTAGTAGTAGTTTTGAGCAAAAGGAAAGCAGATAATTTAGACCCTTGGATGATTTTTTTTCAGGTTAATGCCAGACACATGTACCAGATGAGAAGGTTAAGTAAAGTTACTAGCATGTTGTCCAGAAGTCATACACATATTACTTTAGAAGTAGTCTCTAGCATCGTCATCGACTCATTTTCCAAGGACCCCATATTTAGGAGACTCTAACTGCCAGGTTTTACGACAATGCGAGTATTACTTACGACCAACTGAAGGCAATGTGCACCTACATTGGTAACATTGATTGATGAAACAAAATCTTTAAGCTGGCATAAAGCAAGTCAAAGAGGAGATGTATGCGAGAATTAGCACTTACAAGACAACTTACTTATTGATGTAGTAACAAGGAGCAACGAATTTGGCGCTGATTTTTGGATTATCCTCATTTGATCCAGCAAAGCCCCATGGGCCAGTAGACTCCATCGTAAAAGGCAAGGACTTGGCTCTATCCCTCCTCCCTGTAACCTGTATGGTGATTCCAAATGATAAACAATCTAGAAGATTTTCTTACCTTTCACAGGCATGTGAAATAAAAAATTGCTGAATTCATGAGTTGGTTAGCCAATAGATGACAAGAGCAACCATAATAATTTCTTGATGAGTTAAAGGCACATTGCCTGATAAATGATAATAGGTACCTGAGTACCCTTTCACTTATGAATTACCAAGACAACAAAGAAGCAAAGCGAAAGTAACCAAGCATCAAGAGGTAACAACATATATAAAATCAACTTTCTGCTTGAACTATGTTTTGCAAAGAAAATTAAAAAAAAAAAAGTACCTAATATTTTAAGAAATTGTTAATCAATTGGTTTAAAAGAGACAAAAATAGACACCATCTACAAATTATTCCTACAGACTGCCTTCTCATTATGTGGATGAGGCATGAATACCTCTAAGCCCCAGGCAATCTCTTAAAATGAGGAACCAACTAAAAATTGAATAAGCATATACAAGACAAAAATAGGGTTTTTACTTTTGAGTAGTTCAGTATCTCAATGCCAACTATGTTAACACAACCTCAATTTACAATGATAAGCTAAGTATAACTAGATCACTCCTTTACCAACTAAACCTTGAAAAGATACAAAAGTAATATTTATGCATCTGCTTCCTATATTGATTGGCAAAATTTCCCTTGTCAATATTGAATGAGCTCTGTTCAAAAAAGTTACATGTCAAGCTCTAAACTTCAATAAAAAATCTTAAATTGGGCTGTTATTTGCAGACATTTCACTGCATAATGCGGACAGAAGAGAGCTTTCTTTCACCGTCCAGCCAAGCACCAAATTGGATGCAGAAATATCATGATCAGCCCAATCATATGCAAGAACCATAAATTAGTTTCTTCATAGTCATGGCTATTCAGCATCTGCCATCGTCTGTGCCACACGAAATTTGTCTTTAAGAAGCCAGGTGCCATAGCCTTTACAAAACCATCAGGCACAGCGACCAAGTTAGTACTACTATTACCAATACTACCATCTACACTCATATTGATTCCAAGCTATTGAATTTTAGACCCCTAAAAATAGAGCATCAAATTCAGATGATGAATATTAATATTTATAAATGTTCACCTTGTGATGAGCAAAATCAATGTGGGAAGGATCAGAGACGTTCTCCATAAGAGTATCATAGCCATAGAACAGATCGCGCTGAATTGTCACTGTTGAAAACTCGGGCTTATCAAAGTCATCAGGCAGCCTAAACAAACCCCAGTAGGAAAAAAACCTTAAATTATATTATTTAAATCAGCAATTATTCCCTTAAATAATTCTTCAATGATGTCGTGAAACTATTAAATAATGTACGAAACAGAGGTGTATAATGAGGAAAGGGATTACATAGGAGTCTTGGTGGCTTCAGCTCGTTCCCACCCATTCTCATCAGGCCAAACAAAAAGCAGACCCTGAGACACCATAGTAGGAAACCTTGTGGCACATGCTCTTGGAGACCGAACAGCTCGAGCTTCCGGCCCCTCCGGCGATGCCTGAGGAATCCGAGTACAGGATCCACACCCATCAAACGACCACCCGTGGTAGGAACACTGCAAGTGCCCATTTTCATCTATTCTTCCTTCCTATAATACACCATTAGAACCCATCAATCGAAAATCCTAAAAGTTTCTGAATATTACACAAAACCCAGATTTCAAGATTGGATAATTAGATTTACAGATAAAGGAGCGAGGCGGTGAGGGCATTTGTCATCGAACGCGACCCACTGTGAGGTGGATTTGTCGAGCCAGAGGACGAGGTCGCGGTTGAGAAGCTGGAATGGAGTTGGGCGGGCAGGGTCAAGGTCTTCGATGAGAGAGACTGGGTACCAATGGTCTCTCCAAGAGAATTTGGATGATGATGAACTCTCTTCATCGTCTTCGAGTTCAATATTTTCTGGGTTTTGATCTGTTTGTGTTAATTCTTGGTTTGTTTGGTCAGCCTGTTCCTGTTCTTGGGAGGTGGGTGGCGGCGAAGTTGGAGGTGCAGCTACAGGTAGAGGAGAGAGAATTCTTCTGCGTCCTCTAGGTGTTGATGATGGGTGTAGACAGTTTAGTATGGACACTCCGAGTAATTGGGGAGAGAGAGAGGTACGGAGGGCTTTGGTTATTGTTGATGGTGTTGAATGAATAGGAGTAGCAGCTGGTGTCGAGAGCAATACTAAAGAAGCCATTTGAGCCGATGATTATTCACTTCAAGAAAACGATCCTTCACTTTCTTTATTCATCCAACAGTATGAACGGAAAAAGGGGTGTGTGTGTGTGAGAGAGAGAGAGAGAGGAGTGTAGAGGAACGCTTTGCGTGCAAGTTTGCAATGGCGCTGCGGAACCATTTCTCAGGCGGGCCAGACCAGAATGGTTAGGAAACATTTCTTCGGCTGGTTGTGAATGGTATCACCAATCATGTTTTGCCACATCACGGAATGTAGGGGCTTAAATGTCATTGTAGAAACGCTGCCAAAGTTAAATCCCAATTTTACCCTAGATATTTGCTGCGTGTCTTGATCGTATGGGTTTTACACCCAAGTAGCTGTGACGGCCGGGCCATGTGACGATGCGTAAATGAGACCCGTCGCCAAAATCCGGATGTCCACAACTTTGATTGGCCATCTACGGTCAGTATTAGGAGAAGTGCATAACGTGGACGGCTCACGCTTCATGATGGGAAATAGGGTAGAATTTTACTTGGACGGTAGGAATAGGATGTTAAACGAACTGGAGCAGACTGTTTAAAGTTCAAACACGTCTCTGTTGAGATTACGGGTATGACATTTTTTCTAGTTCTTAATGTTAAAATCGCATCTGCAATATTGATATTTTAAATAATAATTATTTATTATTAAAATTATTTTATTTAAAATAAAGTTATTATTTTATTTAAAATTAAAGTTGACAAAAAAAATAAGAAAACTAAAAGAGAAAGAAATAATGATGGGTTTAGTACGAAATAATGCTTTTAAATAGAAATATAATAGACATTAGAATGAAATGAATTTAAAAATAAAATAGAATGTGCTTTATCATTTCAATATTTAGCTTAGAATTAAGTGTTAGAGCAGAATGCACAATTCATTCCTCTGTTTGGACGAAACATTCAGTCAAATTGGAATAGAATAAAATTGACCACAATATCTCCATAACACGAAAAAGTCATAATATCTATTTTTTAATGAAATTAGCAATGCATCATGTGCGTTGCACGTGAATAATTTTTTTTAAAAAATTAATAAATAAATATTTGATATATGTATACTTGAATTAAATATTATCTCAAATATATCAAACTTATTTTTTTATCTCTCATTTTCCATTATAGAATTTTTAAAAATTTTGTATGTTTTCAAAATTTGTTGTTCTAACTTTAAGAAAAAAGATAAAAAAAAAAATAGAATTAATTAAAATTCTATTTTTTTCTACAATTTTGTAATTCAAAATGATTTTTTAGTAATGTTTAAAAATTAAATTTTTTAAAATTAATTTGACTAAGATTTTACTTATAAATTATTGAATAAAATTATTTTCCAATCATATTGAAACCTTTTGTATTTAAAATTAGTTAGGTCAATTCTGATAAAATTTATATATAATATTATAATATATATTATAAAGCATATTAAAATTTTAAAAGAATTCATATTTTCACATAAAATCTTAACACGGTTTAAAAAGTTTATGTAACTAAAAAATCATGTAAAATTATATATACATTATTTTTTTTCTTAAAAATAAAATGGTTAAACATTTTGATAAAAATTAAAATATACATATGTAGTTATAATATTTTCTTTATAAATGAGGCGAGAATATTATGTTGATGGAATTTTCCAAGGTTTTTTTGATTATTTTGTTAAAAATTATAATGATGCATATATTTTTTAAGAGTAATATAATCAATCAAAAAATTTTATAAAAATTAATATTTATACATAAGGAATATATAATTAAAAATAATCTTAAATATAATTTAAAATTTTAAATACATAAAAATATAATGATAATTTAAATACTAAGTGTTTAATGATAGAGTGACCCTTTTTATTGTTTATGAGAGTAAAATAGTCAATTAAAAAAATTTTATGTTACTTTTATTAGTAGTATAAATAGATTATAGCCTTTTCATACTATTTTTTAAGAAACTAATAAGTACGATTATTAATTTTAAAACCTGACAAACCAATTACTCCTTATTTCTTACCAACAATTGGATGTGAGCAATGCAACTTCAGATAAACAAAAAGATTGCATACATCACAATTATTCATGACAATTGAAGCAATTAGTACTGAATTTATGGCTTTATCATCCCAACCCAATACGGTACAAATAAACATACTGATTAACAACAACAAAAATCACTTTTAGCGGGAAAATCTAAAACAATATTGTCATTTATTCAAACCATTCAGAAGTAAGAATATATCGTATATATCCAATCAACAAGACACCAGTAAAATGATACCACAAGAAACAAGAAGCCATTGTCTTCCTCTTTGCAAACTGGATGCTCAACTACCAACATTTTAAGAATTGTAGCACCATTGTCGATGTTTGTACTTTCATCCCCGATATCATCAACTAGCATCTGAGATACAATTAAAACCACACGAATTAGGGCAAATACAACTTCAAAATTTTGCTATTCAAATCTACAAACGAACTTGTAAGATAAATCGCAAACTCCTTAATGCATCAAGGATAAAAACACGAATAACAAGCACAAGAATAATATTGATCTTACTTTTGACTGCAAACATAAGAATAGTATTAATCTTGCCTTCAATGATGATGATCACTCATTCAAAAAAAATAAAAAATGATGATGATCAAAGTTTTAATATACCTCACGAGAAACAACAAGGCTCAAAAAATTTTCAATTAGAACAATTTGCTGGTAGTTCATTAATTAATTTCATTATTTGTCTGATGAGTGGTTTGATTTATCACTTCTTGCATATGATTTGGAGTTGATTGGGTATCTCAATCAACAAGTTAAAGAAAGAAGAAACAGAAAAATGAAAGAGAAATAAAAGCACAGGCATTGGTTACGTAAAGCTAATTTTTTTCAACCCATAGAATTTCTGAGTTAATATATGCTGCAATTTAGGCTTGTTTAACAAAGTATATATTGGTTTTGCTGACTTTTTTAATCAAACACTAGTTGACAGAACGACGTTCTATTGAAACATTTTAACACTTGGTGGAATAGATAAACAAAGTTCCAAGTATCCAACAATTTCTAATGCCAATGAGGTGTGACAGGAACATCCATATTATTATTATTGTTAATACGAGTAGGAGGTGCATATAAAGACTGTCCATGTTTAAGGTTATGGGTTTAGCAGTTCATTAAAGTAATCACTATAGTATGGCTAAACCTTGTGATAAAAAACGAAAAGACTCATTAAAGTAATCAAAACTGGTACTACTCCTAAATGAGTAAATTGTTAAGAAAAGAACCAATCACAGATAAGGAAGAGAAGGCATAAAAGTCTGTAGTAAAGTTGGGACTGTATAAAACATAATAAAGAAAATTGATAAATTGTCTCTCTTGAGTGTCCGTGGTCACAAATGACATCAAATTAGATGTACAACAACTAACAGGTATCTAAGAGGTAGATTGATAACTGATAAGAATGCCAAATGGAGGTGATCAAGCATCAAAGAGGCACTATGATTAGAAAAAATGACCCAGAAAATGTCATCTATAAAACAACTCTTTTCTCATTTCTGCTAGGAATATCATCAAACAGGTTTCCGACATAACCGCATTTAACATAATTCATTTAATTAGGTCGCTTAACTGATTTCCAAACAAATTCACTTATATATGCACAACTACCACTCATTGATTAAGACAATAGAAACACATACAAATTTCCACCAGAACACCAAAAAATCTAGCCCACATCTAAGCATAGAAATCTAAGCCCACATCATACTTTAAACTAACAAATACTACCCACAAACATGCAATTCTTGACTAACTCTAGTGTGAGGAATTACCTCAGAGTTTTGCAAAAGTTGGTTCAGTTTCTAGGAGTCTAGGATGGTCTTAGTAGCTGATTTAGCCTCTTGTTTCAAAAACAGCCAAGGAAAAGACAGAGCGCGGCTATGAGGGGATGAGGGGAGAGGTGGAATGCCATGAGTCTCAATGGGAGATGAGTCGTAGAGGTGAGCACAGAAATAGAGGAGAGAAGAGGTATAGTGGGATGGGGAGTAGTGAACGGTGTTACAGATAAGAGGAAAGAGACAATCAGGATCGAGAGAATTGGGTTTTTCGACTGAAGTAATTTGGTCCATTACCGAGTTACTTGGAAATGAGCAATACCATGTTTTATTTGATAATGGATAATCCCATATTTTGTGGGATTAGCTATTTCTTTGGAATGAGAATAAATTTTGATTACCTCAAACCAAATTATGGAAAACTCATTACTAAGCAGTAAGTAATAGTCATTCCATTTTTAAGGTCTAATACAAGTTTAAATTAGTTGGATTGTTTGACATTGTAAAGTATATTGATTAAGTTGTCCGATGTTAAAGTCGTGCAAAGAAGACGATATTTTTGGGCAAATTTTTTTTTAAAATAAATTTTATAATGTTAGATGAAATTTGAATAAATCTCATTAAGTTATTGTGTTTTTATAGATGTGCAATTCAAATTGCTAACTATATAAATCTTGTTAGCTAGTTTTTCCATTCAAGATTCTAAAACTACTCCTCCCAAAGAAAAAAGTTAGAATGGGTTTAAGACACCACATGGCAGCATTCACCTAATGAGAGACTGTCACACAAACTAGCTTGTGGGACATGCAAAACTAGGAAGATATGGTAACTGTTTCAAAATAGATGCGAACCTATGACACCCAAATTATAATGGAGCAAAGTTATGGCTACGAAAACCATCCACAGTTCATACTATGTTTAAATGGCTTGATATATAGGTTTGGACATTATAAAGACAAAAAAGAAAAGTACAGAGTGACAGAATGAGGAAACATCCCTTCCAAATGCTTTTTGGTAAATCTGGATTAGTTTTGGTAACATACAGTCCTGGTTAGCCAGTCTCTTACTGGCTTTCCTCTATGGGAGATAAACACTTGCCAAAAGATGAATACAATGATCATGAAGGTTTATTCTTCTTAGATATGGCTTGGATGGCTAATTTCTAGCTTGAATCAGGTTACAAAGACGAGTTAATGGTGACTACATAAGATCTAAAGTGTTTGATTCTTAGCAGGTTCAAGAAATCAATAAAAACCACTAAACAAGGTCTTCCGCAAGACTCTCATAGTAGCTTCCTATAGATCAAAGCATCAACTCTTCATATCAAAGGAGAATATTTGTACATTTTTTCCCCATGATTATATGTAAGCCTTTGATATTGAATTCTTAAGAACCTGAAGAGTAGTAACATGTTGCTGACTCAAGTGAAGAATCTTAATCAGCCAATTGAACACAATATCAATTTGTATATTGTGGCGTGTGCAGATATTGTAGCACGTTTAGGCAAAATGAAGGCATCCAAGAAGTTACAAACGCGATAAAAAATATGTACTTTTTTTTTTTGGGTGGGAATATGAACAATAAAAAATATGTACTACAAAGCCATAACTACATTAACAACTAGCAATAAACCACCATATGAGACTGCATTTACTTGTGCATGAAGAGTTAGCTTTTAGAAAACAGATCATTTCTTTGGGTAAGTTTGATGGTCAGGTCCAACATCACGTGAACCAGTGTTTATATAAGGTCCCCGAAAAGTTGCCTGAGGTGGTAGTGGCTTCGATGAATCAATCACTGGCTTCATTTTTGATGACCTGGATCTGGATGTAACAAACCATTAATGTTGCAAATAAAATGAATTTGTAGCATCCTATGAATGCCCAACTCTATTGAAATTACTAATGAACCAAGATTGACTTACGCCATGTAAAAGGGAAATGATAAGCCCACAGCTGCAAAAGCTAATAAGCCGGTGGCAACAATGGCATTGCGTTTTCTGGACATCAAAGATTGCTAAAGCAGGCTAACAAACTACCTGAAAAGCACAGGGAGGAAAAATATTCCTATACTTAGATAAACTGCTTTAAGTTGCCACTCAAAATGACTTCTGGATTTCAACACCATAGGCAATACTTTCAGGACAAACACATAACTGATGAAATGAAGCAACATTTCTGGTATTCCTTGTTTTCTTTCTTGTAGAACACCTCACTTACCTTCTAAAATTAAGGCACCAAGCAATTTGAGCAGCTCTTCAAAATAAGATATGACAATAGCTCAAAAAAAAAAAAATTTTACAAGCTACCCACTTTAAGCTTTCTTGGATCGCAGACCCTAGAAAACAAGCATAAGTGATGGTACTTCTCATGAAAAGTGCATTCACTTAGGTACTACACTGCACACAACCTTGCTTTTATCTGTATTTTGTAACATCCGACATAACTAAACTAAGACCGCTGTGTCTAAAAGAAAAGCAAGGGGAAAAAAAGAAAATAGCGGTGAGATAGACAAGGGTTCAAGAGAATCTATGAACAGCTTCAGATAAGAGTCATTGTTGCTGCATATGCCCTCATAAAAAGCAAATGTTACATGAGCATGATATCACAATATCATTTTTGCATCAGTCCCATTTATTCCCTAAGCACTGTCTGAAGCATAAGTTTAACTCTAAGAGCAACTTGTCAGATGAAAACAAAATGCAGAAGTATTGGATTCATTGGACAGCTATCAGCTTGATTCTAATTTCTTAGTTTCTGAGCATTACACAGCCTCAAGTAATAAATTACATAGCGTAAAATGCTTCTGAAAATCACCCACCACAATGGAATTAGCAGCAAATGAAGATTAGGCTCATAAGGACCTGTATAATAATATTTTTTGCTCTAACAAACGTCGCAGCTCTTCAATACTCCTGTAAGTGACTATATATATAATCGGGTTTACAGCTTTCTTTCAAGTTTCATCTCGAATGGACACTACAGCAACACAATCACAAACAGGTAATCTGCATAAATAATAAATACATATAAAAAAAAAACTGTTTGATTTGTAATCTCTCACCACCATACCTATGCATAATCTTGAAAGCGTGGATTTCATAGAGCAATGAATACTCGGCGCGACGACGAACCAGATAAATGCATATGATTTGGGTATTATTTTGTGTAAGTAGAAATTGAAGTGAGAGACTGAATCAGAATAAAAAACTTAAAGTTACCTCGTGGTATTAGATGTGAACTGAGAATTCTCAATCCATCGCCCGCCGGATTGCCGGAGGAGAACACTATGCCGGTCGGAGTGTAAACTGCAAATCGAGGGCCTGAACCTCTACTTGTGGTCACGCTCTGATGGTCCAGTCTAACAGCGGTTGGGTTCACTTGATACATTAACATTTGGTCCAAGCCCAAGAGAAAATATGCTCAATAACAAGTCAACAAGTAAACTTGGGAAAATTGTGGATAATTACACTATATACTACTTAATTGGGAAGAAATACCATGCGATTTTTCTTTTGTGTATAAATTCTTTATTTTTTTGAGAATATTTTGTGAGTAGATACACATTGGTTATTTTCTAAATATTTTATATGCATAAATTCTATTTTTTATTAATCATGGGCCTTTTTTAGGCATTGAATCGTGGGATTTAGTTTTTTATTTCAATAGGACAATTGGACAATATTTTAAACAGTTAATTATGAAATTCAATTTCCTATTTCAATGGAATAATCCGTTTGAATTTTGAATTACATTTTATTTTTTTCATTCAATAGCCGATATTTTAAAATTTTTGTTAACCCTTGCATATGATGTGTATATGCATTGTGACATTAAAGTCACACTATGATACCACACTTTTTCAAACCCTACATATGGATGTGTATATGTAGTATAAAATTTATGTCACACTTTGATGTCCACAATGTGTCAAACACTGCATATGATGTGTATATACAATGTGAAATTGATGTCTTACTGTGATATTCATAATATGTCAAATCTTGTATATGCAATATGACATTTGTTGTCACACCAATGTTGCAAAATATTTTGTCACAGGGTGACAAAGTATGCGATTGCCGTAAGAATTTTTTTGGTGGTAGATATTGTGTATCGTTTGAATTTCAAATTTTCTCTTTATATTGTATGATCTCCAACTGCCAATGGTAAAATCGTGTGAATAGTTGCTACCTCGTCCCCTTCTTCTCGCCAATTTCTTTATATGGGTGAAAACCTATTCAACTTCAAGAAAAGGTATTTTAGACTTTAGCTATAATGAGTAAACTTTTTTACAAATATTTTTAAAACGTGTATTTTTTCCCTAATAATTTTAATATTGTGTACCAACCCCCCTTGATTACCAATAAACAAAATAAACTTTACTCCTTCAAATAATTATCCCTCCATATTTTACATAAGTCCACTTTTTTAGTTATTAAGAATTATCATTTACAACCACGTGACATAATTTAATTTACTCGAGTCCATGTAACCTCTTTATTTTATTTTTATATTATTCTAGATTTTTTTGCTATTAATATAGTATTCTATATTATGGGATACGATGTTTACTTAAAATTCATCGAAACACATGATATGGATCAATCTAGACCCGTTCTAATATTGAAGTCTCGTGCTGGGTTTAGGATAAATACGATATAATCTATTCCAAATAATAATAGAAGAACTTTGAAAACACATTTGAAAATTATATATCATTCAGCTTATCTAAAAAAATACAAAAATCATCCATGTACAAATACCATGACATGCAGAGGGACGCATTCATGATGCAATCATACAATAAATCCAAATATTAAAATACCTTGTTCATCACAAAGAATTGACGACATTTAATGATATTTGCATTTTGCAATATATCTATCATCATCAGTATATCCACATTGTTTGGATGGCGATGTCTATTCTGTCACAAGGCTTTTTCCATTTTCAAGATAATACTGTGCAATCCTCAACTTCATGCACAAAATCACAAAAGAATACTTGTCTACAAAAATTGAACCCCCTATCAGCATTGATTCCTATTTCCATGGTGTATTGATAGAGGCCTCCGAAAGTTTTGTAATCTCTCCAATGAACAACGGCACCTATTTGTGTATCCAAGAAATGAAAATTCTTGTTCTACCCTATCATTTGTTCTGTGACCAAAAAAAAATGTCACAGATGCATCCTGTACATACCAAAACAAAACTTGGACCCTATACACTATCAACTCAAAGGCGCGACACAAAGTTGGCTCCTAGTTTCAAAATGCTTCCACACAAAACCACCCTTTGATTGAGTGTAAAATCAGGACCTAGAGACTGACTTATGCAGCATTGATGTCCCTTGAAAAACCATAATCTGATGATCTCTCCTATATTGCTTCAGCTGCAGGCAACAGAGTAAATGCATAAATGAATATATATATTCAGGTGCCTTCAAAAGATAACACAGAAATGCACACGCACCTGGTCTTCAGTAAGCTTCTCGAATCCAAACTTCTTTGTCCATATACATTCTGCTTCATCAGCAGCCGGAAGCACAAGGCTTTTCACATTCAGAGATTCCAAAAGGTTTTCAATACAAAAGAATAATGACTGGAAATAGCCCTACAAAGAGTAGTTTTTTTAAATCAGAATAGTAGTAAAATTAATTAAAAACATAACCAGCTTCAGTTGTTGGCACATTCTCCAAGAGAGTGTGGGGAAGGGTTGAAGCAGAAGACGACCTCAAGTAGACAAGAAGGATTGTCAGACCCACAACTATTCAAGCTCACCTGTCCTTGACACTCGCTATTTGTTGCAACTAACGGAAGTTCTGCTACCTCACTTCCGAATATTCGAATAATCCCAGCTGACACAACCGCTGAGCTGCATAATTGGAGATGAATCAAAATAAGGTACCGATACAAAGGGGAAAATGCTAAGAGATGTGCATTCAAAATCGATTCTCACTTTACAGTTAATATTGCACAATACATCCCTCCAAATTCTTGGTCCCTCAAGTTCCTTCTGCAGAAACATCAAAAAGGGTGACTCACCAAAAACTATGACCGACTCTAAGTGATACATAAGAAAAGCAAGCTACATGGTACACTGTAAGTACTATAGCAGAAAAGAACACTACTACTTACCCATAGACCATGTTTGGAATAAGATCATGACGGCTGGTGGTTGAATCAGCAATTGGATCAAATCGATCCTAAAACAAAAACAAAAAACATCACATAAGATACTCATCAAAAGCACACATAACACAGAAAACCAGGAATAATACATCAGCTAAAAGGTCTTTGCAATGCATTGAGTGCATCTAAGAAAGCTCTATGGCTGTAATCCACATAATTGATGGAATACAAAAGGAGACAATCAAGCAGAGATGGTTTACTGCAGCACAGTATTTGTTTGGAAAGACAAGTGCATATGACAGACACTGGACAAATGAACCTGCTACAAGTAGAATCGGTATGATACAACAAACAAAAATTGATTTCCTGGGACAAGCAAAACAAGCATCTAAATGGTTCCCTATGTTGCAAAAGGATCTCTTTGAGGGGATAACCACCTACACAAGAGTGAGTCTTGCAATGTGTTTCAGCAAAGGCGCTGGAGGAATGAGTGGTCGTGTCTCACCAGTTATGCAACAGCATCTAAGAGGCCAAGCAAAGCTATGTAGCCCCTTACGCTGATCATTCTGTATTGGTTTAATTGGCATTGAGTCTCCTACTGAATGCTGTTAGTAGCGGTCTCTGTCTTCCTTCATTTAATATTTAAATATTTGTCATGTGTTCACAGTAGTGTGATTATAGTGGGTCGCAAACCATTAAACCAAGACATTAAAGTCTTTAAACCAATAAGAGCAAATCTAGTCCTGGTGTATCCTTAAAAAAACCACTCCTGTTTGATTGTACGAGCAGCAATCTTACTTTGTCTGAAGAATCTAGGATGCCAAGCTTTCTCAAATCTTATAAAAGACATATTTTTGACTCTTCCCTTTAAGCTACTCTGTTCTGGCCTATATTCCTATTTTCTGCACCAGCCAGAAACTAAACCTTATAGAAACACTAGTGGCTAGTTGCTGTTACCAAAAACATAAAAAATTAGTAAATACCAAAATATCCTTAAATATTTATCAGCCCAAGTTACCATGATATCATTTGTCCACCGGAAATGACCATAGGAAAGGTAAATGTGATCACTCCATGTAAACAGCATGCTTCATAGACATAGAGTGTCTATCTCAACAGTTGGAATCTATGCCACTGTATTGTTTGCCATATCTAAGCATGTACCTAAGATTTCATAGAGACTAAAGGAGAAGAATTTTCACTGCAGCAATTTGTCGACGTCTCCTTGTTCTGGAATTATTAAATATACTTCCAAGGCTTACTTACCAAATGTTGTTTGTAAATTTCTTATACAATGAGAATGAAAACTAAAAATTCAAAAATTGAATTTTATCATAAACACATTTGACCCTATTTGGCAGTTAAATCCTGCCCGGAAAATGGCAAAACCGTCAACAATTACTCACATGGAAGATAGAAACAGCCTTGGAAAGCAACCGCCTAGTTTCATCAGAAGCCATTTTCCCACAAAGAAGTCTCCATCGTATATCAAGACCAATACCACCAACTAAACCTTTTTCCTCGTGTTTCTTCTTTATAACATCCATCAAGGAGTCCGGAAGCTTTTCTTCTCCATCAGCTAGCAGTTTTTGCAAAGCAGAATGAATCTTATTACAGTCAGTGGAACAGAACCATTTTCCCTTTGGCAATTCCTGTAGCATGCACGATATAAATAAGTCATAAAAAAAGAATTCTATATGTACTCAAAGATAGGGAATTATAAAACAAGTAAATTTTGAAATATCAATAACATGTTACACACTTTCAGATCGTCCATTTTATGCTCCTTCAAACAGCCAACATGAAATTCCTTCTCGCACTACAAGAAAAATGCATGCCATTTTTTATGATCACAAGCACTGAAAGCCACAAAGTACTTAAAAACGCAAACATGACAATGAAAACAATAAAACATGACGACGACAAATATATACCTGATCACAAAGAATGACTGTGCGGGGGCCAAATCCTGATTTGCTGAAATCATGTCCCCTGGATGCATCAATAATATGAACAAAAAAGTGTAAGCTCAACTCAATGTTTAGGGAAAGAAAGAGAATGTGGGACAAACATTTAATTGCTTGACATTGAATTGACACCAAGTGTATGAAGAATGGCAGAATACTGCTTCACCAGGACGTGTTATTATGCATGCTTCTTTTTTTTCCCCTCTCAACAAAAGGCTATTTGTTCTCTAATAGAAATATTCTGAAATGAGATGACGAAAGAATGCTCTTTCCTATAGCAATATCCATAATTAAAAAAACTAGTGTTCCCCTGACCAAGGAAAAAAAATAACCTCAAGTGACTGGCCCAATTATTACTTCAAAAGACTATATGGTCAACAAAATATAACTAAAACATGACTGCACACCACCACCAAAGAGAATAAAATCTCACAAGAAGGAGGAGCATATACTATCCCACCATACACATGAGGCAGGACAATCTAGTATAACAATAAAATGAAGCTATCGGTGTAACATGTTTCATTTTTCCTGATTCACTCACAAAATGATCCATAGGGAGCAAGTCTTAGAAACACTTGGAACCTCGATTCTTAGTATGGAGCAGTCAATTTCAAACACCGTCTGCTCAATATGCCCTTTTAAATTTAATTGATCGATCTGAAGGTATTTGCCAAAAAATGTAAATGATAACAACACAGCTTAAATTTCTAACAGAGGGAACCATAATACGAAATGGGGTATAAACACTACCTGCACAGCATGCATCCGCCAACTTCAGCCTCAAAAGTTTCGACGATGCGAATGCACCGCTTAGTTAACTGTTCAAGTGCATCAATTCCTGCAACCCTTCCGGCAGCAACAGCATTGGCATTACGCTCCACAGATTTTTCTTTTTGGAACATATTCAGGCAGTATCTACAGTACCACTTGCCCTGGGGGATGGTTGGCAGAGACACACACACTGCAATTGGCCACACCGAAAAATTATATAAACTGTGGAGGAAATTTTATTTATAAATGTAATGCAATGATTACATGAAAAACATAAATGTGACAATAAAAGAGATTTATCAAAGCATTGTGCTAGAATTTACTATGACTTGGACAATGAAAAAAAATAAATTATTACAGCAAAACCAATAATGCACAAGAAAAAATAAAGTGCAAGAAAAGGTAAAATAATGCATAAGGAGGCATGTACAAAGCACCATCAATATGATTTACCGCATATTCAATTATATTTCCATAGTTATACAACTTAAATAAATTCTCCTCAATCCATGGCAGAATCATCAGGAACATAAATTGACAACAAAGAAAATTCCAAATGAACTGAGAGAGAGACAGAGAGCAGGTAACACGGGAAACTCAAGAAAAGTGGACAACAATAACATAAAATAATAAAGTCAGGATGTTCACCTGCATGAAAAGCTCTTGGGCAAGTATCGCAACACAGAAGGTCCCCTCCATCTGCGCATATGGAGCAGAGATCATCATTTTCATCTGCAGAAAACTTCCGTTCTTTTGAAAGACTGACTGAATACTCATGGAGAGACACCCCATTGGAAGTGTATATGTTGTGAAAACTGCCAAAACAAGACGAATCCAGGAATGAGAAACGAACAAGAAAAGCTAATAACAACGAATGCAGACTATTGTAAGTTGTTTTCTGTAACCTCTGAACTAAAAACCATGTAGTCCTAGATGTTGGCCTGCTGTTTCTTGCCACTTATATCATGCTATATAGCAGAAAATATACACCTTCCCCAACTCTACCTCATGACAGGCTATAAATGGCATGACCAAAGTGACCATTTTACAAAAAACTTTCAAAAATTTCAAAATAACACTCACGGTTTGCGCCGGGAAGCCCAACCAGCATGAGCTTCAAATTGCGAAGGGCTGACCTGTTCATAAGGGTAATGAGGATCAACATTTTCACAGAATATTTATAGATTGCTAAATTAGGCATGAACAAAAATACCTCACTGTTGCAGCAAAAGCAGAAGATTCCAAAACCTTTCTTATAGCCCTCAAGTAATTTCTGCCCAAAAAGAAGTAACCAATCAGAAAGAAGATTGTTTAAATAATGTGAAATTATTCCCAAAGCCTATTTGGCTGCTTCCAGAACAAAAAGAAACACCTGATAGTCAGGGCATCTAAATAATGTGAAAGTAGAAACTTTTGCTTACAATATGTTACTCCCCAAAACCCCACCCCTACCCAACTGAAAAAATGAAGAGAACTGCTGATCTGAAATTACTATAACCTGTCCACGCGCATAATAAGCTACTGCAGTTCCCTCAGGCAGCCCTCTTTCCTCAAACACCAACTTATGCATTCGCAGATCCCTAGACAAAGAGGCAAAACCCAATAAGTTTTAGTGCACCGAGTGAAAAAGCATTGAGAACATGATACAAATGCAAATGACAAAACATGCTCCAGATGGGAAAATAATAATTCATATGTAAGACGAAAAAACTTACTTTCGAGTTAACCTTCCCTTGCCCTTACTTCGGGATGACCCACACTGGGACACTTGTGCAGATGACTTTGTAATTGAAGCAGCTATTGGAGACCTGTAATTACCAAATAATATATATCAACATCTTGTTTCATAACTACTCATCAGGAATAGCCTCTGCTGTTTCAGTCGTGTAAATAGACAGGCAGACACATAAATGCATCCCTGAAATAGTAATTCATTTCCAACAATTTTGCTTAAGTTTCATCACCAGGCATAATCAGCATGAGCAGGTTTCAAAACCAACTTAATAAATTCAATCATGAGGAACTTTCATCTATACAAACTACTATTCACATCGCTTGCATATTAATAAAGACAAGCAACCGACATAAGTATTTGGGTGGAAAAGAATGTCAAAGCAATAATAATTGCAACAGCTTATTGGAAAATCTAATGCAAGATTGCAACAAATGTTTATAATGATGGGAACAACTGAAAAGGAGGGAGGGAGGATTGACATGATGATCCGTTGTTAAGAGAGGGCCACTCGGGGATGGAGACAGTTGCATGTGGATGATAGGGTGCAGGTAGGGATTGCATGTCAAAGAAGAACAGTAAAATTGGTGTTTTTCGGGGAAACAACTACTCACGGCGAGGACTCATCATAGTGGAAATCCGACAAAATTTTACCCATATTGTCAACTACATAACGCAACAATCATCCTTTATCCTGACTTGTGACAGGCAGCATTGAGTACAACACTGTCGAATTAGTTCAACATATACTTATAGGAGAGAAGATAATTATAGGTGAAGATTTCAATGGACATGTAGGAAAAGATAGAACATAGTATAAGGGTGGGCTACAGATATGGTGATTGAAATGAAGCTAGGGAGAGTATCTTAGAATTTTCAATGGTATATGACCTTATAGTGACAAAGAACTTATTTAGAAAACAAGAAGAAAATCTAACCATCTTTAAAAACGAACCAAACAAAAGCCAAATAGACTATTTCTTACGTAGAAGAACTGACCGCTTGACATATAAAGATTGTACGGTTATTCCAGGGGAGAGCTTGACATCTCAACATAAGCTAACAATCCTAGATTTATATATTAAAGGGCAACTTTGAGTAAGGAGAAATATTAAAAAAACAAGAAGAAGATAGTGGAATCTCAAAGATGAGAAACTAGTACTATTTAGGAATAAAATGCTTAAGGAAGGCCATATGGAACCTAAAAGGTACAGGGCTTATGGGAAAAGAAACTTGGAGGTGGGAAAAGAAACTTAGAGGTGGCAAAATGATAGAATAACAAGAACTTACAAAGATATAAATTAGCTAACAAAAAGATTAAAAAGATAATTAGAGATGTTAAGTTTAGTTGTACAAAAAAACGAGATAGTAAAGAGGAAAAAAAAATATCTACAAACTAGCTAAAATTAGAGAAAAAAAAACAAGAAACTTTAACGAAGTTGAGTGCATCAAGAGCGAGGATTCAAAGGTTTTAGTTAAGGATGAGGACATAAATGGAAGAACTATTTTGAGAAATTATTAAATGAAAATCACTTAGAAAACTTAGAAGAGATAAAAAAATGGTAGGATTCATGAAACTAAAACACACATTCTTTCGTAGAATAAAGAATTCGGAGGTAGAGATTGCAGTGGGAAAAATAAAATTAGACAAGACTTTAGGACCAAATAAGATTCCAATTGAGGTTTAAAAGTGCTTAGGGAATGATGGGGTGTTGTGGTTAACGAAATTATTCATTATAATTATTACTACTAGAAAAATGCCCGATGAATGGAGAAAGAGTTTTTTAGTACCTATCTATAAAAATAAAGTAGATATTCAAAATTGTAATAATTATAGAGAGATAAAATTTATGAGCATACAATGAAACTATGGGACAGGGTCATAGAACGTCACCTAAGAGTTGAGACTATACTTTTGAAAAATCAGTTTGGGTTTATACATAATAGATCAACTATGGAGGCTATATATTTCTTAAGGACACTCATAGGAAAGTATAAAGAGAAGAAGAAAAAGTGTTTACAGATCTTGAGAAGGCATATGATAAACTGCCTAGAAATATAATATGGAGGGTGCTTGAGAGAAAAATAGTGACGAATCGGTATATTGAGGTGATAAAGGACATGTATGATGGGACTATAACTACAATTAGGTCTTTCGTGGGAGAAAGTAAAGAATTTTCAATCACGATTGAATTAAACCAAGGACCAACCCTAAGCCTATACTTATTCGCCCTAATTATAGATGAACTCACTGGACACATTCAAGATGATGTCCTACGGTGTATGCTATTTGAGGAAGATATTGTCTTAATAGATGAAACTCGAAGGAGGATTAACAATAAGCTAAAAATTTGAAAAGAGACACCAGAGTCAAAAGGGTTTAATATAAGTAGGAGTAAGACTGAATATATGCAACACAATTTTAGCAATAGAAGAAATAGACATAGTGAAAAAGTTAAGATTGAAAATCAAGAAATACAAACGAGTAAACCATTTAGATATCTAGAATCGATCATTAAAAATGATGGAGAGATTGGAGATAATGTAACTTATAAAATCAACATTGGTTAGCTTAAATAGAGGAAAGTCTATGGCATATTATGTGATAGAATGATACCTTAAAAGACAAGTTTTAGTGAACTGGACAATAATGTTGTATGTGACAGAATGTTGGACAATTAGGAAACAACATAGTGACAAAATGAATGTAGCAAAAATGAGATTGTTAAAGTAGATGTGTGAAAAAATTAGAAAGCATATAATATGAAATGACCGTATTAGAGAAATGGTAGGAGTAACTCCAATTGAGAACAAGTTAAGAGAAAATAGATTAAGATAGTTTGGTCATATTCAACAGAGACTGATAGAGGCGTCGATTAGAAAAAACGATATACATTAAATTAAAATTGAAAATAAGAAAAGATATGAAAATACTTAAACTTGAATGAGCAAACAATGTATGATTGAAATGAATAGCGAAGAAGGACTCTTATAGCTGACCCCAAATGTTTAAGACACAAGGCTTGGTTTAGTTAGCTACTCACAACAATGGTGTAGATGAAATAGACATAAACTAGATGAAGTGCCAGAAAATGCAAGGACATCACTGTGACTGTTAGTCATCATTTTTGCACCTGCGCATATGAATTATTATTCTTATTACCAAAATCTAAAACTACAAATAAGCCTTTGTTCTTATTTTCATACTAAATGTTGTAATCACATACACAAGGAAGTGAATATTATAATTACCAAAGCATATAGTTTGGTATTTATTATTGATGGGAATGAAACCAGAAACATGGCTAAGGTCTTTGTGCTCCAAGAAAATAAAATCATCAACAAAAAGAATGTAAGTATGAGAAAGACACCACAAAGGCAAAAAAAAACTCCTAATATGATTCAAATGAAGGCTAACAATTGAGCCCACGCTAGCCACACATAGCACACCCCAAGAATTGCGAGTAAGTGCTTAGTAACCTAGGAAGCATGGATACAGACACAGGTGTCGTATCCGATACAATACAAACACGGATATACGACAAAATTAAAAAATATTAAACACGGATATGGCAAGGATACGGCTATTAAAATAATATAATATATTTTCAAAATAATAATAGAGTTGTAATATATTAAAAATAAAGTATATATTTTACCAATATTAATAATAAGACCTAGCCAATATTATTTTTTTGATTAAAATTGAAATAGATCAAATTAAATATCTACTATTTCCATTGAACATCATGATATCTATTAACATTCATAGTATATAAGTTACATAAAAAAATATATATTAAAAAAAATAAAAATCACACTCCTTTTAATAGTTAAAAATTATTTTTTTGATAAAAAAATTTATAGTCGTGTCCTAACCATGTCCTAAACATATCTTAGCCGTGTCCTGACCGTCCTAGACGTATCCTGACCTTGTCCGAATGAGTTAACTACTCAAGACACTTCAAGCCGTGTCGGACACATGTTCGAAACTGCCACAACACCCCAGTGGAAGTATCCGTGTTTCCTACTTAGTAGGCCAACAACCTAGTGGTGAGGGTGAGGCATTCAGAGACAAATTACGAAAAATTAACCTAGTTAATCGATACACCAAGTGAGCAAGTATGAAAAATTAGCCTGCTCCGCTTTCATAAAAGCAATGACCACTACAGGTGGCCAACCCAAGGCCTTATGCAAGTTAGGGCTCATCCCCGATTCAATATCGAATTAAAAATAGGGGTCTAGTGCTGATTTCTTTGTTAGTGATAATACAATAGGGGAAAAGATCGTCATCTTTCTATTCAAATCCAAAAAACCTCATGTTAATAGAAGAGAGTCCTGCTAAGTCCATATTTCAAGTTTTTCACCACTTTGATCCTGAAGCAGTCTGTACACATGATTGAATATGAAAACTAAATTTAGAATCAAGACATATCCACTAAAGGCAAAATATGCTTGAAACATTTTATTCAATCACAATAACATGGTGGATGACACTCGTCATTCATTTCATATGTAACCAGAAAAGCTCTTCAAACTTTCCATTAGTCGACTATGTAAATCTTTGATCAGATGACATACTCAGAACCAAGTTAATATCATACAGATTGACGCATCAGCAGCGAAAATGAAATCTGCAAGGACAAGGCCATGTAGCTTGTTCAGAAAAAAAGATTACCAACTAATGTTTTCATGGATTGAATTAAACACCAGCCTTAGAGATGCTATAATTTGGTACTGATTGCTAACTTGCTATCCACCTTATCTGAGACCTTAAAGCCTTATTAGACCAACCCTTAGTCTAGTTTGAAATGCACCTAGTTTTCAAGATGACTGCCAGTAACAACAGGACAAAGGTTTTGAACAAACTGCCAACTAGCACAGAGAACACATTATGAACAGATGGGTTGAGCTTCTAGCGCGAACCAAAAAGAGAAATCACAAATCAACTGCAAAATATCAAAAACCTATTTTTTCTGAAACAAAACCGCTGAAGTATAATATCCTTTAAAGGGCCACAAAACAGTTCAATTCATCCTATGTTCTCAACTGAATAACGGGCCCCTCTTTATAGTAAAAACTACATCCTTCATCGACCCACCCAATATAATTTTCATTTGATCAGTTGCTTCATATGGACATTGCTGTATATATTTTCAAAAGACAATAAAAGAAAGGTAAAACCCTGTAAATGAGGCTCCTAATGTAACCTGTATTTTTTGACTTCTACTGTCTGTCAATTGGATTTTCCATTTAGTAGTCCCATTTTTTTCGATAAGATCCAGTTAGTAGTCCCATTGACCTATGAATTAATGCATCCATATCAGACGCTAATAAATTGTATCAGCCAAGGTGACTCCCAGAAAAGGGAAAATCCCAGAATCAAAGAAAGGATACACAAATAACAACTTTTGTGAGTTTAACTGATGATAACTACCTATCACTGTCATCACACATTTGAGTAGAGCAAGGTCGAGACTCTTTTAGGACAAGACATGAGTCACATAGTAACATTGTTTTACCAACACCAGCTTCAGGTATAGACCCTACAAAGCATCAAAGACAAAAGGTCAAATTCTCTGTGCAGAAAAGGTAGCTCATGCAAAATGTCACCTATCAAAACCGAGTAGTACAAACAACCTTTGCAATTCAGACAAAAAGTAGGGGTTTCTCCAGATAAACAACCAATTGCCATTTGGATAGCTACTCCCAGAGCATCTGGGCTAGCATTTTTGCACGAGTTTAACACATCTCGAAGGGTGTTCCCATTCTCCAGATAGATATACTCAGGTGGACGTTTATTTCCACTACCCGCATGCAACTCAAATAGATTCGGGGTCACGACCTACATTGACCAAAACAAATGTCTACAATAATAAGATTGTTACGACAATAAGTCTTACATTTATCTATAGTCCTTGAGTTGAATCATCTATGGAACAATAGAATATAAAAACCAGTTGGTGCACGGCTATCCTGAATGAAATGAATATATGAAACTTACTTCTGTTCCATTGCACGTATCACAAAAGCATAGTATCCCAGAGCCTTTGATGATTCCTTGAAGTCCAATGTCTGAAGGCCCCCTCACCTAAAATGTTGTAATAGAGTAAAGAGGGTGAAAACAAACACACATCAGATCCAGATGTCAATTCATGCAAAGCATAATGCACAAAAAAGGAATTTAAATTTACCTTCGAGCCACGAATGTACCGCACAGCTAAACCCTCGAGAAAACCAGTTTCAAGCAGCTCCTTTAACCTTGTTGGAACCCTCGTCAACTCAACCTTCTTTGACATCTTCATTTCCAACTTCTTTGCCGGATTAACCACTGAGCTCGTCACATCACTCTCTGCCACTTCCTCAGTCTTCACCTCATTTGACCCCAGTGCCTCAGAAACCTCTCCCTTCGATTTCAAAGCTGAACGAGTAATCCGCCTCATGTGTTTCTCAACCAAAGCACTCTCTTCAATTCCTTGACCACTAAGAATTCCAAATTCTTTGGAAGGTGTATCAACGTGAACGATTTTTAAATTATCATAGATTGGAACTTCCTCTGCATTGCTCTGTTTAACTTGATCCTCTGTCAATTGCAAGTCTTCACTCATGGGTTCCACCACAGCATCCTTCAGTTCATCCTCATCGCTCAGCGATTCACCAAGATTAATCTGTGTCTCCCCATTCTCATTTTTCAAACCCTTGTTGCTCTTGGTTTCTTCTTCGCACACCGGTTTCTCCACCACATCGATAGGTTCTTCCTCTCTGATTGCTGATTCCACCAAAGTACACTTCCTCTCATCATCACTATTAAGATCCACCACATCGCTCTGGGGCTCCTCCTCTTCGCTCGCCAAATCCACCTTCTCCCTATCCTCTCCAGTCACAAGGTCCACCTTACCGCCCTTCTCTCTCATCACCGCCTCATCATTCACGAAATTTTCCACATCAACCATTTGCTCATTTTCCACCGAGGGTATTTCGGCTTCCATCTTACTCACCTTATTCCCCTTACAACTCTTAACCCTCTTAGGACTCGAATTCTTCGAAACTCCATTGCTGAATACCCCATTCTGAGACCTCGTGACTCGTTTCCGACCCAATAGCCCAGCATATTCCATTTGTTGCTTCATCACAAAGGCAAATTCCCGTTTATTTCCCTTGCGAATAGAAGAAACCAAAAGCTCATCTGATTCCGTACCATTTTCCATCGAAAACACAGACCAGACAAGAAATCTACTACCACACAAGCATCTGAGATCGAACTTCAAGCCTCTCCGCCTACAAAAAAACCCTAGAAACCCAGAGGAAAACCTAGGGTCCCCAGATTGAAATTCAGATCGATACAACCGCAAAAAAGGATTGCGATACACGTATATATTTGTCGCAATATCAAATAGTGATTTCTATTTAATCCAATCGAAAAACAGAATCGGAGAGAGAAGAAAAATAGGTTTTCTGATGAAATATAAGAGGAGACGATGAACTTAACAAATTGAGGAGAGGGAGAGACAGAGAAGATCTAATTTCGCTATGCCAAAACTACCCTAACAAATCAATGTAATGTTTTAAAATGTTTTAAATTCTAATGTTTGTTGTGAAGCCCCTACGGTTTAAGGTATTTGTAAGTATTCCCTTTAGAATGGCATAATTACAATGCTCGTATGGAGATAATAAAACTTGTGGTAAATTTTATCTACATCCCTACAGTCTCCCTAATATTATAAAAATAGCACAGTGACCCTTTAACATTTGTAACGTGTTTCATCCAGACCCCCTTGCCTGTAACAATGTTAGAAGCCCTAATGGAAAATAATGACATTAGCCAAACAATAACTACGGGCATGTTAGCTTAGAGGAATGTGTTGCATGGGATTGGAGCATAGTTTTAAAATTCGGTCTGGATATCAACGCAAAAAATAGATCAGGTCATTAATTCAATCGTTGAGTTACTAGTTAAACTGGTCATATAATAAAAAAATAAAAATAATTATAAATCTATATATTTATTTATATTACTTATAAATGTTAGTACATATGAAAAACTTTTGATTTCTTATTTTATCTCTAATTATTATGATAAAGTTAATTATACTCACTTATATATTTTTATCTAATTTTTATTTTTTTACCTATTTGACTTTCAATTTATTTTAAATTCTTTTATAAAGATTTCTAAATTTTTTTGAACTTATTTATTAATAGTGCAATTATTTTATAAGAAGTAAAGTCTAATATATGTTAAATTATTATACACATGTTATCCCTAAATATTATGATAAAATCAATTATACCCACTTATATACTTTTATCTATTTTTTTTACACCTATTTGTTTATCAATTTGTTTTGAACTTTTTTTATAATGACTTTTAAATTTTTTTGAACTCATTTATTAATAATACAGTTACATAAAATTATCAACATGAAGAAATAAAGTCTTATATATGTTTATTATTATACACACGTAGTTATCAAGTTGAATTCTACAGTCAAATATATATTATATTTTATTTTTTAGTGTGCAATAGTATAATAATATTATAAGCGATTTAATCGATCAATGTAACAAAATAAAAATTAATTATTCTATAATATAATTAGATGTGTAAATATTTAAAGGGATTGAAGAGATACCTAAATAAATAACATATTAGTTACTCAAAAACTTATAGAATAAATTAATAATTAAATGTAATAATAAGTAAAATGCGGATTAATTATTTGGAAGTTAATTTATTATTTAATTTAATTACACATATAATTTAAATTTTTATAAAAATAATATTATCTAAATTTATTTCCGTGCGCACATCGTACATTACTAGTAAGCTAAAAAGTCATAATAATTATGAAAATAAAATGTTTAATGTATATTAGATCGAATAAAAACCCCTAAAATCATCAAATATGTATCCAATACATTCAATTTCATATACAATGTGAAGTTAAACATCAAAACCAACAACCCACAATTAATTGAAAATAGGCCAAAATTTATACAAATAGACCTTAATTAATTCTTCAATATAATACAAGATGAAACGTAATAGGCCAAAATAGAATGCTTAATGAGCAAATAGAGAGAAGCAAAGAAGTTATCAATTTAAGAATGAGGTGGAGAGGGTTTTCGAGCAGATTTTTGGCCAAACATGAAGCCATACTTGCAAAGAAGAAGCAAGACAAATTTTAATCGAAAAATTGACGAGTTCTCAGAGATCATTGATCATATCTGATGATGCCTAAAGTAATCTTAAGTGTTAGCTCAGGAGTTCAGCTCAAACCGGGAAGTCAGCCATATTAACTGAGGTCAGAAGACAGGGACTGAATGTCTCTTGAGGCAAGGCCACGGCTGGATAACCACGAGAGGTTCATAAAGCGTTAGAAAGCTATAAGTAAGGCACCTAATCTCAACCAACCAAGATCTTCTTTTAGAATTAAGGAGAACCCCACAAAATAAGGGCAATAATCTCGGCCAAGATCCCACTGAATAGGGAACAACCTTATAAATACTAGATAACGCCCCCAAGGAAGGGAAAAGGGCCATAGAAGCAGAAAAGAGACATTGTACTCTTGTAATCATCATTATTGAAAGGCAAGGAGCAAGAGTCTCCATTAAAAAATGGATTAGCCGAGCTCCCGAGCTGGTGAACCACTATATTTTTTCTGTGTTAATCCTCCCAGCCCCTAGAAAAATATTTCTTTCACTATCACATCACCATCACTGCAAAGCATAAATTACGATTCATTACTCATACAATTCGGTTTACACCATCAATTTGGCGCCGTCTGTGAGAACGACTGTTCCTGCTACAAATAAAGCTGATTTTTCAGTGACTGATGATATCAACGCGAAACATGAGTCGAAGTCAGACCAACCCTCTACAGATGCAAGATCAACAGGAAGCGGCAAATAGCAGACAACCTGAAAATGCGCAAGAAGCAGATCCCCCTATGGGGAGCCTTCCCACGAATAATGAGATGAAGACATTTCGTCTTGTCAATGAACGTCTGATAAAAGATAACGAAAAGCTCTTAAAGCTCCTACAACGCCCACAAGAGACGCGACCGGCCCAAGAAGGCCAGAATAATCCACCACCAAGAGAGTAACCGCGTCTCAACCCCCTCAGAAAAGTTAATGAGGTGGGAGAGAATAGTCAGACCTTGGGACAAGAACCTCGCCTACCCCCTAGGAATGGTCACAACGAAGAAGTGCAAAGTCAATATAAGGAAGGGGAGATGAACGACTTCTTCCCTTATCAACAGGAGAAAAGAGAACATCACTGGCAACAACGTTTTAAAGACATCTAGCAAGAGCTCAGCCAGATGAATAAGGCAATGAAGAGCAAAGCCCCAGCCACTATAGATGTCTTGGTGTAGCAAATTGAATCCTCATTCACTGCTGGGGTGCTGCACTTCCCTCCCCCACATAAATTCAAAATGTCACAGGTGAATGCTTTCGATGGGACAAAGGATCCTGTGGACCACCTTAACACCTACAAAAATCAAATGGAGTTGCATGGATATCAAGATCTAGTGAGATGCAAGACCTTTGCTATCACCATGAAGGGCTTAGCCTTAGCATAGTTCAACAGACTCTCCCCAACCTTGATCTCCTCTTTTAAAGAACTGTCAATCTCGTTTGTGTCTCACTACATTGGAGCTTGGACCTATAGGAAAACCAAGTTACCATTTGTTAAGTGTGAAACAGGGACATGATGAGAACCTATGGTCCTATGTCCAACGGTTCAACTCAGAATCCTTGAAGGTGGATGTCCCAGACGAAAAATTTACTATTACAGCCTTCATAGCAGGTATGGGAGTTTAGTTAAAAGATCTGATATTTTTCATCTCAAAGAACCCCAGGCTAGTATGGCAGAGGTGCTTGTCAAAGTAAAAAAGTATATAAATGGTGAGGAAGCGCTCCTCTCCAAGGTCGAGAGCTCTTCGTTGAGAAAGGAAAAAGGGAAGGAAGAAAAGAAGGGAGAACAAAGTCCCAGAAAGGAAAGAGAACGAGGCAGGTCTCCAAGAAGAGACAGAGAGCGTTCCCTAAAGAGATTAGGAAATGTCAGGGATCACCTCGGCCCTCCACAACCAGAGCTACAACCGAGGTATGCACCCCGACAGCTCACTCTGCTAACTGCTACGGTGTCTCAGATACTATATGAGGTGCAACATGAGAAGTTCTTAAGGTGGCCACCTCGGATGAAAGCAGACCCGGTAAAAAGGGATCCTACGAAGTATTGTAACTTCCATAGAGACCATGATCATCATACCGACGACTGTATCCAATTGAAGAAGAAGATAGAATTTTTAATCCAGCGAGCACAACTGCAATGCTATATGGCCAATGATAATCAAAACTAAGCTCTCACATCTCCACCCCCTCAGCGTCAAGCACCAGAGCCACACCAGCAACCTATGGGGGATATTAGAGTAATATCTAGAGGATTTGCCAGAGGAGGAGGGTCCAGCTCTGTCAGAAAAGCCCACTTGCGAAAAATCAGAGCCATAGTAGCTCCCAAAGTATATACTGTGTCTAAGTCTCCACGTTCAGACACAGCTATCACTTTTTTAGATTCAGATCTGGAGGGCTGCCAACATCCCCATGATGACCCTTTGGTGGTAAGAGCTGTGGTGGCCAACAGGATTGTCCATCGTGTTTTGATTGACAATGACAGCTCGGTAGACATCATTTTTGCTTATGTTTTTGATAAAATGGATATAGGAAGGGAAAAGCTTGAACCAGTGAGTGCCTACCTATTGGAATTCTCAGGAGAAAGGGTGTTGCCCCTAGGGTCAATCCAACTCATCTTGACTTTAGGTGACCCACCCTGTCAGACTACAACAACCGTGAAATTCCTAGTAGTCGATGCACCTTTAGCATATAATATGCTCCTTGGAAGACCCTCGCTCAATTCTATAAAGGGTATTCCATCTGTCTATCACCTTGTAGTGAAGTTTCCAACAGAAAATGGAGTTGGAGTGGTCCAAGGAGACCAGCGCGTAGCACGGGAATGCTACATGGCATCCATGAGAAATAAGAATGTTGAGAGCATCCAATTGGATGAGCTTGACATGAGGGATGAACTCAAGACCAAACCAACACCATCAGAAGAGCTGGAACCTGTTCAAATGGATGAGGAGTCAGAGCATCTTGTTTATGTTGGATCCAAGCTGAGCAAGGAGATCAAGGATCTCCTCATCCAATTCTTGAAAAGGAACAAGGAAGTTTTTGCATGGAAGCAAGAGGACATGAAAGAGATTGATCATTCTGTCATCACTCATAAGCTCAGTGTGAATCCAGCTTGTAAGTCCGTTAAGCAGGAGAGGAGGAGCTTCGCCTCGGAGTGTCAGAAAGCCATCAACGAAGAGGTCAGCAAGCTCCTTCACGCAAAAGCCATTAGAGAAGTGGATTATCCAGTTTGGCTAGCTAATGTCGTCCTAGTCAAGAAGACAAAGAGCAAATGACGTCTTTGCATTGACTTTACAGACCT